TACTTCCATTTGATCCAGCAAATATAGCCCAGGTGTGAGATCCAGGAGACACAGGAGTATTAATTTCCAGCTGCTACCCTAGATAAAAATATGGATTCTGCAGAGGTAGCTGATAAAACAGATGAACATGTTGTGGTCAGGGTACTAAGACTTAAGGAGAGCCTTCATGCCAGATTTCCATATAATTTTCCCCAAACTTCTTTATTCCCTTTGTGCAACATTTTCCTTCCAGTACTTTTAAAGGAAGTGTATTGCCATCCTAAGCATCCCAGGTCAAGAGCTTAATTAATGCTTTAAAATGAAGGTTCCAAAACACCAGGAGAGTTTGTCATTTTCTTCCTGGTTTGTTTTGTGAAGAGGGAGGAGAGAAGGTGAGGAGGAACCCCTCCTGTTCCATGATTACATCCTACCCACTCATTTTCTCCTTTTCTCTTCTGCTTTTGATTTTTAGTGGCGGTCTTAACAGAATGTCAAGATCAATTTGCAGCATGGTTTAACTCAGGGTTTGCGTTCTGCCAACAGCAATTGTCCCTGCAAACAATGCCGTGTGTTCTTGTAACTTCAGAAGCTTTTAGAGGGATCATGGCAAGGGCAGCATCTAATGACTTTATTAGTGTAGGGTTTCAAAATGGGCTCAGTAATTGTTCATATCTCTTTGTCAGCAAGTCATAATTACTGCTCAGCATTGTCCAAGGGTACACTTGTGAATAGTTTCTTAATAGTACTGAAAGGAAAGGAAAGGGGAAATAGATAAAAGGTGATGGCCTCTTACAATTGAGAACAAGCCAGTCTCTATGTAGTTGATGGCTTAACTGTTTATAATACATTCAACATTCTTTTTTAACATAGATTATCCTTTTTTTTTTTTTTTTTTTTAAAGACTTGCTTTATCACCCAGGCTGGAGTGCAGTAGCGCAATCTCAGCTCACTACAACCTCTACCTCCCGGGTTCAAGCAGTTCTCCTGTCTCAGCCTGCCAAGCAGCTGGGTGTACAGGCACCGCTCACCATGCCCGGATAATTTTTGTATTTTTAGTAGAGACTGGATTTCACCTTGTTGGTCAGGCTCGTCTTGAACTCCTGACGGCAGGTGATCCACCTGCCTCAGCCTCCCAAAGTTCTGGTATTACAGATGTGAGCCACTGCACCTGGCCAAAATAGATAATCCTTTTAACAGTGTTCTTTGAGATAATTTAAAATTGCTAATACACGAGCCTTTTTTACTCTAATTTGGATACTTCCCACATGCCTGCCTAGTACTACAGTTATAACTACCTGATTGCATATGCATTATATTTGAATCAAAGCATTTGTTTTTAAAAAGAGCCCATTTTCCTTTGTACTAATCTAATTAATGCTATTCAGGAAATATGCATTTAACTCAGATACAGTTGTCCATAAATAGTCTATGAAAACTTGTTAGAAGATACAAAGGTGATATTATTGGCAAGCCATTCTAAAAGAATAACATTTTAAGTTTCTATCAAATCTTATATTTCTCATGCACTAGATCTTTCTTACAAGTCTATGGTGTTCTCCTTGGTCTTCTCTCAATTACTCTGTGCTTTGAATATTCTAGGTATCTTGATTACAAGAGTCACAGAATTAAAAGAATCATCACTGTCTCAAGATGAAGTTTGAGGTTAATTCCAAACCTTTGCCTGTTTGTGATCTGTTGCTGAATCCTTCCCCATTCTCTGACCCATCCCCCCACCCCACCAGTGTACTCATGTATAGTTATATGCAAATAGTTACTCCCAATAACTGGTTATGCTTATATTTTAGAACATACAGTTTTTATGTTGATACAAAATATAAGTAATCTAATGAAACAAATTCTAAAGATAAATACCTTATTCTAAAAATAAGATATTTGGGCTGAGCGTGGTGGCTCACACCTGTAATCCCAGTGCTTTGGGAGGCTGAGGCAGGTGGATCACTTAAAGTCAGGAGTTCAAGACCAGCCTAGCCAACATAGTGAAACCCTGTCTCTACTAAAAATACAAAAATTGACTGGGCATGGTGGCACATGCCTGTAGTCCTAGCTACTTGGAAGGCTGACACATGAGAATTGCTTGAGTCTGTGAGATGGAGGTTGCAATGAGCCGAGATTGTGCCGATGCACTCCAGCCTGGGCAACAGAGCAAGACCCATATCTAAATAAATAAATAAAAATAAATATTTATAAAGTGAAATATCTTAAATATGTATATGCTATCATGTTTTTTGCTTTTCTTCTTGCCTGAAATTAAAAAGGTCTGAAAATATTTGTTTCCTTAACTGCTCTCATTAATAATTTTTATATTCATATTTCAGCAGACTTTTTACTAAATCCTATCACCTAGGCCATTGAAATTGGTAGCACATTTCTTCTGTTCTATAAATACTAATAGTAAAACAGTCAGAGGAATTATAAAAGGAACATGTTCAGTGATATAAAACCACATAAGTAATTTGGTTCATCTGACATATTTTACAGTGTTTGCCTGTCAGTCTACACTAACAGTCTTAATGTTCTAATCTACCAAATGTACCACCAAAAAGCAGAAAGTTTCTGTTAGTGTAGAATTGGAGAGTAAGGTGGAATCCTGTTTCTGATGTGTTCAGGTAATTCATTAAAGAATAGATTTGATATCCTTTCCTCAAGCATATGCTTGTGTCTCTGTACTTAAGAGCATTAGGGTAATAGAAGAATGATAGATAGTTTTGTATTATTCAAAATAAAGTTAATTATAAAGACTTTTTAAAAGCTATTTGATGTATTATCTACTGTTGGCTAACTCAGTCTGTAGCTACAATTTAACAATCCGAGATTGCTTTCATGCACTTTTTTTCCACTCAATACATGATCAGCACCAAGAAAGTCCTTTTCAGCAAATACTTTTCTACATACCGCAGCTAAGGAAGGAATGAGTCAAGGTTATGGGAAAATAAAAAAGCCTTGATTGCCATACATCAAATCTGAGAAATTACATTGCCCAGTCCCAGTAATAAATGAGCTATTGGAGTCTCTGAGCAGCTTTTGAATAATTTACTGTCTCAGCAACAAATTTTATTATGTGGCTATTAGGCAAGTTATGTATTAACTTGTTAGTTCTTGAAGCAGACCTGTACACATTTAAATGTGTCGGTTGCTGTTCTTAAAAACTGGTTTTATATTTTATTATATTTTTGAAACAGGGGTCTCACTCTGGTGCCCAGGCTAGAATGCAGTGGCACAGTCTCAACTCACTGCAGCCTCAACCTGCTAGGCTCAAGCAGTCCTCTCACTTCAGCCTCCCAAGTATCTGTGAATACAGACATGTAACATCACATCTGGCTAAGTTTTTTTTTCTTTCCTTCTTTTTTTTTAAGAGATGGGGTCTAACCGTGTTGCCAAGGCTGGTCTCAAATTTCTGAGCTCAAGCAGTCTGTCCATTTCAGCCTCCCAAAGTGCTGGGAAGAGTGGATAAGCCACTGTGACTGACCAATTTTCTTTGTAAATTTCAATAGATTTAGGGGTACAAGTGGTTTTTGGTTACATCGATGAATTATATAGTGGTAAAATCTGGGTTTTTAGTATACCCATCTTTCAAATACTGTACCTTGTACCCAATAGGTAATCTTTGATTCCTAACCTCCCTCCTACTTTCCCTCTTCTGAGTCTTCAGTGTTATACCTTCTATAGGACCCTGCACAACCATAGCTTAGCCTCCACTTGTATGTGAGAACATAATGACCTCCAGTTTCATCCAAGTTGTTACAGAAGACCTTATTCTTTTTTGTAGATGAGTTGTATTCCATTATATATACACACACCATATATATATACCATATATATTATATATACACAGACCATATATCTACCATATATACATATCCATATATATACATGATGTATATATACCCACACACATACCATGTGCATGTGTGTGTGTGTACGTGTGTGTGCGTATACATACCACATTTTCTTTATCCACTCATAGGTTAATGGGTACTTAGGTTGATTCCTTATCTTTGCTGTTGTGAATTGTGCTGCAATAAACATATGCATGCAGGTATCTTTTTATATAATGACTTCCTTTCCTTTGGGTACTCAGTAGTGGGATTGCTGGATCCAATGGTAGACCTATTATTAGTTCTTAGACAAATATTAATACTGTTTTTCATAGAGGTTGTACTAATTTACATTCCCACCAACAGTGTATAAGAGTTCCTTTTTACTGCATTTGTGTCAACATCTTTTTTTTTTTTTGACTTTTTAATAATGGCAATTCTGACTGGGGTAAGGTGGTATCTCATGGTTTTAATTTGCATTTCCCTGATGATTAGTGATATTAGGAATTTTTTTCATGTTTGTTGGTCATTTGGATATCTTATTTTGAAAAAATGTCTGTTCATGTTATTTGCCTACTTTTAAATGGGATTATTATTTTTTTTTTCTGGCTGAATTGTTTGAGTATTTTGTAGATTCTGGATATTAATCCTTTGTTGGATGTATTTTCTCTCATTCTTTTGCTATGCAGAAGCTTTTTAGAAGCTTTGGGTTTTATTTTGGGGGCCTGGGGTATGTGTGTGTCAAGGTCTCACCCTTTCACCCAGGCTGGAGTGCAGTGGCATGATCTTTGCTCACTGCAGCCTCAACCACCTGGGCTCAAGTGATCCTCTTACTTTAGCCAGGAGGATTTTAGTAGAGACAGGGTTTCACCGTGTTGGCCAATGATCCAAACTCCTGACCTCAGGTGATCCACCTGTCTTGGCCTCCCAAAGTGCTGGGATTACAGGTGTGGGCCACTGCACCCGGCCTGCAGTTTTCATATCATGAAGTGGAGATAGCACACCCAGCTGATTGATTGATTGATTGATTGATTTGTTTATTTATTTATTTTTCTTTCTTTCTCTTTCTTTCTTCTCTCTTTCTTTTTCTTTCTTTCTTTCTCTTTCTTCTTTCTCTTTCTTCTTTCTTTCTTTCTTTCTTTCTTTCTTTCTTTCTTTCTTTCTTTCTTTCTTTTCTTTCTTTCTTCTTTCTTTCTTTCTTTCTTCATAGGGTTTTACCATGTTACTCAGGCTGGTCTCTTGGGCTCAGAGAAACAATGATTTTCAATATAACTGTTTTTTCATTGTTTATGCAGACAGATGTCAATCATAGAATGTAGAGGAATTGAGAAGTAAGGCTCAGTCAGGCTGGAAATATGAAAAACAAGATGATATTAGACAAATAGTGTAACATTTCTAGATCTTTGTTTTTCATCTGTGAAAAAGGTGACTCATCTATTTGACCTGAGACTTTTGTCTGTAATATTCTGACTTGGACACAATTGTTTTCAATAGGAAAATGTGAGTTAAGCAAGGGTTCATTTTTAAAATAAATTTTGGTGAAGTTTTATATAATATATCAGATTATAACATGAGCTTGCTACCCTTACCAGTTGGTGATAATCTGATCAGAGTGATTTCAGTGGGGTGTAGTGAAGAAGATGACATTAATTTTCTTCCTCTTTTGTTTCGTAACAAGAAATATCTGTTAAAGGTATATCAGTAGCTAAGAGCAAGACTATCAGACTTCTTTTTAGAAAACCAAACTACATAAGGACAACTACAATCATTAATTAAGCACCTACTTAATTATAGTGCCAGACACTATATAAATGAGCTAATTTAATGTTCACTTTGTGTGTGTGTGTATATATATGTATATATATTACTTCATTTAATCTTTTCCACAGTTCTTCAGGGTAAATAGCAAGATCCCATTTCACATGTGAGGAAACTATTTGTGGTTCAGAGAGGCCCTATAAGGTCATGCAATGGCTGTACCAGATATAAATCCCAATGCTACCTATGCTTTTCTACCACATAATACTTCCTTTTCATGATCTTGCCATGCTGAATGATTCAGGGACAGAAATGTACTAGATAATTATTGTGTGCAAAGTCCTGCAGGAGGTATAAGGGAAGTCTATGGACCTTTTGTTCAAGGAACAAATAAGCATGAAATTCACCCAATCTTAGAGTTAGGGATCAGATGTGTCCTTAGCGGTACAACTTGCAGCCATGCAGGCCTTTTTTTCTATAACAGCTTAGCTGACGTTGCTCCAGCCTGTGCTTGAATATTTCCAGGACAGGGAAATGAAAACGTCAAAAGATAGCTTTTTTTTTTTTTAAGCTGCTCTAAAAATTGGAAATTTTTTTCTTTTTTTAGCTGCTCTAAAAACTGGAAATGTCTTTATTACAATGCTTCTTCTGTGGAGAGCTTTTGCAACTTTATCCTTTTGGGGTCTATTTCATACCATTAATCATTCCCCAAATATATCATTCCCCCTCTACCTCCCCTTCCCAGCTGCCCACACTGGTTAGTTGAGAAAAAAAGAAGTTATCAGAAAGACAGAAATGAGCCAATTTTTCTGTCCTGTCTATATGTCCCTTCAGAAAGGTCTGATGCACCTTTCTAGAGAAGACTTCCCCATCATTCTTTTTCATAGCACCCTCCTAGAACTTACCATAATAAGCCACTACTTTTACTTACTTTAAAATTTATTTTCTATTTCTTCCACTTGAATATAAGCTTCCTAAGGACAAGAGTTATATCAATCTTTTCCACTTTTGTTTCTTACTAAAATGTTAAATAATTATTTGTTGATGTTAAAATAATTCAGAACATCATGATGATTAAGAATATGAATGACCTTTGGATTTATTCAGACCAGGATTGGAATTCTAGCTATGCCACTAGGCCACCGTAGTGACCGTGGGTGAGTTTCTTAAACCCTCAAGCTGCAGTTTTTGTTTGTTTGTTTGTTTTGAGACAGAGTCTCACCCTCTTGCCCAGGCTTGAGTGCAGTGGCACAATCTCAGCTCACTCCAACCTCCACTTCCCGGATTCAAGCAATTCCCCTGCCTCAGTCTCCTGAGTAGCTGGAACTACAGACGTGCGCTACCATGCCTGGCTAATTTTTTTGTACTTTTAATAGATATGTGGTTTCACCATGTTGGCCAGGCTGGTCTCGAACTCCTGACTTCAGGTGATCCGCCTGCCTTGGCCTCCCAAAGTGCTGGGATTACAGGTGTGAGCCATCACACCCAGCCTGCAGTTTTCATACTATGAAATGGAGATAAAACTACATTCCTCAGAGAGTTGTTATTATAATTAAATGGAATGATTTATTTTAAAGTCTGGCACACCGAAGTGCTCAGTGCATTTATCTACATGTAAGTATTTTATTTGTCTCATATATTTATGAAAATGTTAACAGGACAAAGCCAACTAATAAACTCTTTGAGACCACTTTCAATTTGGTAGCATTCTACAGATTCAATTTCCTGATGACAAATGACCTTTCTACCTTAGCCTATATTTCCGAATCTTATCCTAAAGGATCTCTTGATTATATGCCCTACTGAAGTACAGATAGTCAAAACTTTTATGGAATGCTCATGCATTCTCAGTCTAGGAAACTCACACTTTTGGGAATACTATGTTCCTAATGGCCTATGCTGCCTGCCATTCATCACTACTGTATTCTGTGTTCATAAACGATCTTTCAAAGTGACTTTTTACAGTTTTGTTGGGGATTGAGAGCAAGTTTACTGATCTGTACATTTTAAAATCATGGCATTTACTTGTTTTTAGGGACACAGATTCCTCAGATAATAGTCACTTCATTATCATTAATTTTAGCTTTTTACTGTCCCATTCATTCTATCATCTATTAATTTCTTTATCCAAAAAAGTATTCATTAAGCATTAACTGTGTACTATATACTGTGCTTGAATTGGGAAAACATTCTTGCTTCTCTTATTTTCCTTCCTGCATATATGTCTAGGCTTTTTTTTTTCCATTTAGCATTTACAGTTTGCCTCCTTTAAAAAATGGATATAACCTCTATATATAATTTCATAATATCTGTATATACAATATAAAATAGGAAAATTAAAAAATGGGTAAAAACCAATTAAAAATAGCAAATAGATATGAATATTTATAAGCACCTGAGTTGAAGTTTGGCTCTAGAATTCCAGCAGGTAAAGGAGAGAAAGGAAATGTCATAGGCATATAATCATTCATTCATTTGTCCATTTCATATGTATCTATTGTATTTCTCTTATGTGCCAGATCCTATACTTTAGAGCATTTACATTTTACCATTTACAGTTCTCATTGTCTGATATATGGAATCATAATAGTTCTTGTCAAGATTTCCTGACACTGAAGTCAAAGGAGAATTTTGTTGCCTGATTTTTTTTGAGAGTCCTTAGGAAAAGTAGTAGACAATAATCTTCTACTGTTGTTTTGCAGAAGACAGATGATTTTAAATAGATTTTTAAAATATAAATCCCCTGTAAAACAGGGGGCTTTGTATTTAATCTTTTTTTCAGTAATGATAATTCTTCAGGGAGTTTAGGTGATATGGTCCTTAAATATTCCTTTTTGATTATCTAACTCATAACAGGTATAAAGTTTAGAAGAAAAGTCTACACAGTCAACCTCTCTATTCAACTCTTTCTGTTAAATATCAGCTGTCTCAAGGGAGCCTTAGTAAGTGCTGGGTTATAATCAGCTCTTGCTTGAAAGCTTTGATGAGTGACTGAGATGCCAATATTCTGTGCTCCTGGTCACTTATCTGTTAAAGACTTTCCTCCTGTGTGTGAGATTATAACTGAGGCACTCCCACGTTTTTATATCCGTTAGGGTGATAGTTGTTTTCAAATACATAAGGGCATTAAGTATAAATGTCAGGGTTCCAAGAGAAACCATCGAATCCTGAAATAAATGATGCTGAATCATTTTACATAATAATGAAATCACAAACTGTTTAAATTTGACTGAGTGCAGTGGCTCATGTATGTAATCCCAGTTACTTGGAAGGATCATTGAGCCCAGGAGTTTGGGACCAGCCTGGGCAACATAGCAAAACTGTGTCTCTTAAATTTTTTTAAAACTTAGCTGGGCGTGGTGGTACATGCCTGTAGTCTATTCATTTCAGGAGGCTGAGGGAGTAGGATCTCTTGAGCCCAGGAGTTCAAGGCCTCAGTGAGCTATGATCATGCCACTGCACTGCAGCCTGGGCAATAGAGACCCCATTACTAAAACAAAAACAAAAAAACAAAGTCTCTAAATTTGGCAGCTAGAAAAAAATCAGAGAACATGACAACATTAAATATATAGATAGATTTAAAGTAAAGATGTATATACTTTAAATCTCTGAGTAGGACATTATCTTACAATGATGTTGGTACATATTCCAGAAGGTATGCAGCAATATAATACAGTGGCAAGCATGGTGTAAAGAATAACTTTTTGTTTAGTAATATGAGTTTGAGATTGCTGCTATAACTTATTTTAAGAAACATTTTACCATATCTTTAAATTTGGTGGAATAGGAGAGGAAAAACCAATTTTGACTTAAAAGCACACACAAAGAAATTAAAAGAGGTAGTATTTATTTACCCACAGACCAATTCCAAAAGTAGGTATCTTTATCTTCATTTTATAGATGAGAAAGCTGAGGGCCTTAAGTTATCCAAAGAAACAGCTAACGGACGAAATCAGGTTTGTTTGATTTTATAGTCTTTGTTCTTCCCACAATACTATGCTGCTTGCAGTAATTCCTAATTTCTCTAATATATTAACATTTGGATATTTTATACTTTTCTAAGTCACATTTTTCAGTCAGTGGGTGATGACAGTATGTAATTATATAAAAAGTGCAGTTTGCCAAAAATCAGTTAGTAAGTTTAGAATCATAAACTTGTGGACCAATACCTGCTTATTTTGAGGGTTCAAGTGGCCTGTGGAGGTGGTAACACAGTGAAAAGGACCCTGAGGACTGTAATTATTCACACTGACTGTCTTTGAATTAAACTGATTCAGAAGTAGTTGGAAGAGAAAAAGGAAGATTGTACAGTCAGCATTGTCATAGTGAAGATAAAGGTTATTGAAGCATGAATTGGCTCATTCATGCAACAAATATAGTAGGTGCTAGGAATGCAGAGGTAAGTGATGGTTCTTCTGATGTCTGTCCTAGGAGGTCTTACCTTACAACATCAAGTTCTCCCCGACTTCTAAGCACCCATTCCTTTCACTGATTTCCCCCAGCACTTAATCTGAACCACTTAAACTAGGCCCCAGTAATATACTATATTACATTTACTATTTGGGGGCCTTGATTTATCAAAGGCAAAAGATTCTTAGTGTGCTAAAGATAAAAACCATATCTTACCTTGTCATATATTTGGTGGGGCCTCATAAATATTTATTCATTGGTAAAAGGCAAAACATAGAAGAAATGTTATATGGCATTAAACATAAATTAGCTCTTTTATTCAGGCCCTGGAAAGTGAATCTTTTCTTTACACTGCTAGAGAAGGAATTTCTGCATTTGATAAAAGATTGAATTGGATGTTCTTTATTATCCCTCCTAAGAGTCTATGATCAGCACTTAAGAAAAAGTAAACGCCTTTTTATGAAGAAATTTTCAAGTACTTAAAATCAGTGTTTATGTTCTTAGTGGTAAGAAAAAGACAATTACTATTTATGATTATTGTTTCTCAAAAAAATTAGGATAAATTAGTCTCCTATAGATTAGCTGTATCCTTGTTATTAAACTTTCAGTGCCTCAAAGCCTTTTTCATTTGAGCAATTTATAGATGACAACAAGGGGAAAGTTTAAGAAATTACAATTACAGGGCTTTTTTTTTTTTTTAGATGGAGTTTCACTCTTGGTGCCCAGGCTGGAGTGCAGTGGTGCTATCTCGGCTCATTGCAACCCCTGCCTCCTGGGTTCAAGCGATTCTCCTGCCTCAGCCTCCCAAGTAGCTGGATTACAAGCGCTACCATGCCTGACTACTTTTTTGTATTTTTAATAGAGATGGGGTTTCTCCATATTAGTCAGGCTGATCTCGAACTCCGACCTCAGGTGATCTGTTCATCTTGGCCTCCCAAAGTGTTGGGATTACAGGCATGAGCTACCATGACAGGCCAATTAACATGGCTTTTTAAAACTCTATTAATCTATTGAGACAATTCAACAGGTTATTATTACCGGTAGCTTCAGGCAGATGAGAGATGCTTTTTTAGGTTAAATTCTCCCAAAATCTCATTCTGTGTTTTCTTAAAATTGCTTTTGGTTTGTATTCTCAAACATGCATACAATATTTGCATTGCATAGTGTGGCATTATACTGTCCTTTTAGAAAACAATTTGCAGTCTGGATGTGGTGGCTCATACCTGTAATCCCAACACTTTGGGAGGCAGAGGCCAGTGGATTGCTTGAGCCCATGAGTTCAAGACCAGCCTAGGCAATACAGTAAAACCCATCCCTACAAAAAAATATATATATGTATACAAAAATTAGCCAGGCATGGTGTCACTTACCTGTAGTCTCATCTATTCCAAAGGCTGAGGGAGAAGGATCACTTGAGCCCACGAGGTAGAGGTTGCAGTGAGCCAGGATCACACTACTGCAAAAAAGATAGATTTGAACAGAAGACTCATATAAAATAGAAAAATGTAATGAACACTGTTAAAGGTTTGGGATTACATGCAATTTTTATTTATGTAAGGGACTTACTCTTTTAACAAATTTGATTCAAAGTCATAAAAAGGTATGTAATAAAAAATCTCCTGTAATCCCAGCACTTTGGGAGGCTGAGGCAGGCGGATCACGAGATCAAGAGATCGAGACCATCCTGACCAACATGGTGAAATCCATCTCTACCAAAAATACAAAAATTAGCAGGTCATGGTGGCACATGCCTGTAGTCTCAGCTACTTGGGAGGCTGAGGCAGGAGCATTGCTTGAACCTGGGAGGTGGAGGTTGCAGTGAGCCTAGCTCATGCCACTGCACTGTAGCTTGGTGCCTGGTGACAGAGCAAGACTCTGTCTCAAAAAAAAAAAAAAAAAAAAAAGTCTCCTTCTTACCCCATAGCTATGTGACCCTCCCCAGTGTTGTTTCTTATTTATCCATCCAAAGGTTATTTTGTATATAAACAAATTAATATATATATTTTTTCCAGTTTTACACAAATGGAAAACACAATTTCATACCTTCCTTTTATCACTAACATTTTATCGTAAAGATATTCCATATCAGTTCATAAAGAAATCTATTTAGTAGCTACATAATATCCCTTTACATTCCATAAGATACTATAATTTTATTTAACCAAGATTGATTGATTTAGACACTGGGTCTCGCTCTGTTGCCCAGTCTAGAGTGCAGTGATACGATTGGCTCACTGTAACCTCAAACTCCTGGCTTTAAGCAGTGCTTCCGCCCCAGCCACCCGAGTAGTTGGGATTATAGGCATATGCCACCATGCCCAGCTAATTGGTTTATTTTTTGTAGAGGAAGGTCTCGCTTTGTTATCCAGGTTATCTTCAGCTTTCTGGGCTTAAGCAATTTCCTACCCCAACCTTGGTGTCCCAAAGTGCTGGCATTACTGGTGTGAGCTACTGTACCCAGTTATCAATGGGTTACATCCAGTTTCTGCTGTTACAAACATGCAGTAATTAACTGTGTACACAGGTGATTTCCATATGAAAATACATCTGTAGACTAAATGCTTGGTTAAGAATATGTGTGCATTTATAATTTTAATTGGCAAATTGCTTATGAAGGAATTGTATCAATTTCACTTCTACTAATAGTGTTTAGTAGTGACTTTTTGTGTAACCTTGCCAATGCCATTTTTTTTTCCTTTACTAATCTAATAGGTGAAAAAATTTTTTTTAAGATAGCTTTAGGCTGATGTGGTAGCCCATGCCTTTATAATCCCAGCATTTTGGGAAGCCGAGGCAAGTGGATCACTTGAGGTCAGGAGTTTGAGACCAGCCCGGCCAACGTGGTAAAACCCCATCTCTATTAAAAATGCAAAGATTAGCCAGGCATGGTGGCATACACCTGTAATCCCAGCTACTTGGGAGGCTGAGGCAGGAGAATCACTCAGGAGGGGGAGGTTGCAATAAACCGAGATGGTGTCACTGAACTCCAGCCTGGGCGACAGAGCAAAACTCCATTATATATATGTAGCTTTAAATAGGAGCAAACTCAGTATGAGTAATTTTGCATATCTTTTTAATATGCGTATGTGCCATTACTGTTTCCATTTCTAGAAACTTTATATATTATTTGTTGATCTTTTACTTATTAGTTTGTAAGAATTCTATATATAATGAGGAAATTAGCTTCTTTTGGGGAATTTGGAATTCAGAAAATTTCCCCATTTGTTATTTATGTTTTGGCCTAGTTGTGTGTGTGTGTGTGTGTTTTACCATATAAGTGTAGTAAAATTCATCAATTTGTCTTTTATACTTCACTCTGCTCCAGCTATAGTAACCTCCTTGTTACCTTTCAAATATGCTAGATACTTTCCAACTTCAAGGACTTTTATTTGCCATTCTCTATGCCTGAAATTCTCTTCCCTGAGGTATATATTTCATTCCCTCCTTCACCTCTTTTCAGTCTTTAATCAAATACCAGCTTTTGAGACTTTCCCTGACCACTTTATGTTATATTACAACCTCCCCTTCCCTGCTTTGTTTTCCCTCCATCCTATGGAACTCACAGAGTTTTGAGGTATTTGTTAGTATTACTTTCAGATCAGATTGGAGTTCACCCATACAAATGAAGCAAGTGGGAATTAACATTTTTAAAGTGGTTGCCTCAGGAGAAGACCTACTTGGTCCAGTGAAGCTACCATTGCCCAAAACACTTTTATGATGACTTCTTTTAAGAACTGCCTTCAGAGACAGAGTAAAGCCTTATAAAAAAAGTAGTGGTGTGTCCAGGAAGCAGTGTTTCTCAAAGTGTGGCCATTAATCACTTGCATCAAAATTACATGGGGAGGGGTTGGAGACCTATTAAAAAGGCTGTTTCCTGGACCTCACCCCAAATCTATTGAATAACCTTCTCTGGGGGAATGGAATTGAGGAACTTACCTTTTAAATAAACTCCTTAGGTGATATATAGGCCACTAAAGGTTGAGGATCACTGCCTTTACCTTTAGTTTCCCCTAGCTTAGTCTGTTTTCCTAACTCTGTTTAGTTTGAACCAAAGATTTAGGATTATGCTATGGTTTGAGCGTCCCCACCGAAACTCATATGGGGAACCTTAATTCCTGGTATGGAAATGTTGGGAGGTGGAAGCTTTAAGAAGTGAAGCCTAAAAGGAGATGTCTGGGCCATTGACCCTTCATGTCCTTGACTGGTCTCCTGGAAGTGGGTTCTCCTTCTTGTTCTCATTAAGCTAGATTAATAGTCCCAGGAATGGATTTCTTCTCAGGAGAGCAAATTGTTTTAAGGGGAGGATGTGGCTGGGCGCGGTGGCCCACGCCTATAATCCCAGTACTTTGGGAGGCTGAGGTGGGTGAATCACAAGGTCAGGAGTTCAAGACCTGCCTGGTCAAGGTGGTGAAACCCCGTCTCTGCTAAAAATACAAAAAGAATTAGCCAGACATGATGGCAGGCACTTGTAATCCCAGCTACTCAGGATGCTGAGGCAGAGAATTGCTTGAACCCAGGAGGCAGAGGTTGCAGTGAGCCAAGATTGCACCACTGCACCCCAGCCTGGGTGACAAAGTAAGACTCTTATCTCAAAAATGAATAAATACATAAAAATTTAAAAAATAAAGAGAGGATGCCTTTTCCATATGGTCCACTTCCCCCTTCACCTTTCACCATGTTATGATTAAATATAAATGTATTTAAAAGAAAATAGTGATTTTAGTTTTGTGTCCAGTTGTGAATGTTTAAAATTTTGTGCTGTGGTACAAATGCAGCATCTATAATGTTGTCTTATTTTCTAAATATTGATACCTGCCCATTCATTTTCTGAATGGAAATTAAAAAAACAAACAGTGTTTGTTTAGTCAACAAATCTTTGCTGCTGTATCTTCCTTTGCAAAAAAAGTCTCTTAGTGCTGGCCTGTAGGCATAAACAATCATTTTTAATCCTAAAAGAAATGATAAAACTGTTAAATATTATTGTATATTTAATAATAGTAAAATAGCTGCCAATTTTAAGGGCCTACCATATTTTAGGCACAAGTCCAAGTGTTTTCTGTTTCTTATTTCATCCTTACAAGAAGACAAGTGTTTTAAAGATAAATATTATTCCCACTTTATACCTGAGGCTCCTTTAAACTCATGAGAATCACACTGAAAGGTAGTAATCAGAAACCCTTAAATAGAGTAGTTGACAGTGTTGTGCCCTCTATTTTTTATCAGATATTCTTCCTTTTATAGTACCTAGTATATGGTAGGTAGGCAGTGAGCATTTGTGGAATTTCATCTCCCTTCCCGTAAATTGCTAGGTTCCATGTAATATATATTTTATGTTAGAATACATCTTGGTAAGAGCCAGTGACTTAGATAATTATGACTTAAGTTGAAAGAAACTAAACAATATCCTGTTTTGAATTTAAACAAGATTACTTTTTTCCATATCTGATTTCTTAGTAATCCTGGTTTCCATTAACAAGATAGAAATATCTGTGCTTCAGCAATGAAAAATTTTACAAGTGATTAATATGTCATAGCCATCAGATATTCCTTTTATATTTCTCTCCAAACTTTAGATTCAAACCATTTCATCTTATCTTACCAGTTTTCTAAAAGCAAGAACTGGTAAATATAAAAGTATATCTGACTTATGATTAATGATTTTCTTTCACTCATTGTCTCAACCCTTCCTTCTTCCTTCTCTCCCTTATTCCTTTGTATTATCCCCTTAGTGAGAGCATATGTTCTTTGCCTTTTCAAATTTGTAATTTTAGCATTTGGCCTTGGGTTGATTTGGCAACTTGTTAGTCCCCTCCTCAAATGTTCTATGATGGGTAGCCTGTTTGATTTATTTCAAAATTTCATTATTTAAAAACAGAGCCATTTCCCTTTGTTATAGAATGGTTTGCCCGCAAACCATTCTATAACCTTTGGGTTTGACATTGCTGGAATTTAATTTCTTGTGGAAACCATTTATCCCTTCATGATATCTGACTCTGATGAACCCCATGTGCAGTTGGGTTGACAACTTTGGACCTGTCACTGGATGCACTGGTACACTTTTATCTCTTCAAAAGCAAGAAAATACCACAATTATGAGAACTGTGCATTTTCTCTTAAAACAACTAGTTTTTCCCACATCTGTTTTTCTTCTAATGTTTCGAACTGAATTTTTTGCTGCTGGTAGTGTATTATGAATGGTAGCCCTGTGCATGCATGATCTTGGGAGGAAGAAGCAGAGCCTCCTAGCCATGAGAAAGATTTAACATCTGTACTGTGAAGTGCCACCTTAGGTTCTTGTTAATTATAATGGAATGAACTGACAAGTAGAAATTTTTACAATTTTGTACTGTCCACTGGCCCTACAGGCTCTTCATGATTGCAATTTGAAAATCTTAAACATGATTCATGTTTTAGGAAGATTAATCAGATTAAAATTTTAAGTATCCCTTTGATTACAGCAAATTGTTGGTTAAGGCTACTATAAAGTGTCAGCTGGCTGTGTAATCCCTGTATATCTCCCAACTATTTGCAAAAAATTAGAGTGATTTTCCAATAACTAGTAGAAAATTGATCACTTTTTTTCCTTTTTTTTTTTTTTTTGAGATGGAGTTTTGCTCTTGTTACCCAGGCTGGAGTGCAATGGCACTCCTGGGTTCAGGCAATTTTCCTGCCTCAGCCTCCTGAGTAGCTGGGATTACAGGCACATGCCACCATGCCCAGCTAATTTTTTGTATTTTTAGTAGAGACGGGGTTTCACCATGTTGACCAGGATGGTCTCGATCTCTTGACCTTGTGATCCACCCGCCTCGGCCTCCCAAAGTGCTAGGATTACAGGCTTGAGCCATGGCGCCCGGCCTTGATCACTTTTTTTTTATAGTTTATTGAATGGCTGTGTGCTCTGAGATCTGTACCACAAATATGCTTTGTGTAGTGGTGAAAGTTTTGTTATATAGTATTTTATACCCCATAAGATACCTATATTTTTATAATTATTTTATCTTGCTCATTTTCACAAAAAGAACATGGGAAATACAAAATTTCCAGGCAAAATTGTCTTGAGATGAAATTCTTAAAATCACTGAACTTACCTGCTTTTCCCTTTTATTTTTTTCTCTCTCTCTTCCTTTCCTTTATTTCTTTCTTCATTCCTTTTTTTGTAGGTATTCTTTTTAGCTAGTATGTAATAGCACTTATGGGCAGGTATTTTGTGACATCTGCTTAATCCATTGGTGTGAAAGCAACAAGGACTTACTCTCTTTTGTAGGAAATTACATTCCAACTATTTTTTGACATCTTTTATTTTTGAGGTTGCCAATGATCAGATCAGAGTCAAGACTGACTTGAAATACTTTAGAAAAAAAGCACCAAAAAAAGGAGATCCTCATTTTCTAGTCTCATGATCCATACATCCCCACTGATGAGTTAAGCTATATGGATGTGAAATTTGGTATGGAAGGTTAGGCTGCTGGATCACCCTTTATCCCATTATAGTTGAGAACATGAGAATTTGAATTTTCATAGTGGCACTGATATGAAATTGCCATAAAATCTGGTTATTGCTCTTCTAAATGTGTATTTAAACCTGCCTTCCAGTGAACTTATTGCAGTGGTGCTAACTTGTCTCAACACTCTTGCCAGCGGTTCTAGTGGCCCTTAACAACACCTACTTTCTATAGTCATAGCACAGATTTTATGGTGGATTCAGTCTAAATTTTTGAGTTAAATTTCTATAGGCAGAAAATATATTGGCTTTAAAAATTAAGAGGTTTGATTCTGTTTTGAATTTGGATATCAAATGAATCTGAACACATGACATTTTAATGCCATTTGTCTTTTCAAATAGATTTACCTTCTAATGCATGTGATGACGGGACTTTGCTCATCAGCTAGAGCATACATTTCAGAGGAGTTGTTACCTAAAATATTATCATAAGGCATAAGAAAACAGACGATTTAAGTTGCTTTTCATGAACATAATTAAGAATTAATAAGCCAGTACCAGTGGCTAGTCCCCAGAATTTCCACTGTTTTGCCTTTTGTGACCTGTGTTATTAAAAGTCCATTATTTTTACAGACTTTATTAAATTGGATCTTATTAAAGCATTCTATATTTGCATTTGGTCTTTCATAATTCATTATTATTATGACATTTACTTTTTACCATCAGATCTGAAAACATATCATAAGCTACCCTTTTCTCTTGAAAGAAATGCTAATTTCAAACAGTCCTCTAATAGAAGAGAAAAGCTTTATCAGTTTTTTCATTTATTCCAGATCGTGTTAAGAATACTAATGCTAGACTTCAGTATGCTAATATCTAAGAGCTTTTTTTGGTCAAAAGCTTAGAATTATTATTTTTATCTCATGCTGAGTATGAAACTAGGAGACCCACTACTACTGGAGAAAACACAGTTGTAAAGTACAGTTCTTGATTCTAAAGACTTGAGAAAATGTTGCTAAATTCTGTTTTTTAGGATGATGCTAGTCAATTTGGCTTTGTACAACACAATATTATTCTATTTAAGAAATCTTATCCTCTTGATATTAGTTCGTTTTTCTCATAGTTTAAGGGTAGTGTTACCGTGTTTAAGAATCCTATGCTGTTAGCCTCAGACAGCATTTAGGGTATGCTTCTTGCTTTTCTATATGATAATCACTTCTGTATCATGTCAGATATGTTGAAAGCTCAATATAGCAATATGTTACATATTGATATCAGGCAGACTGTCTAATTTAACATAACTAATAAGACAGTGAGTTCTTTGTTGAGTACTAGTAAATATATTAAGCTATAAAGCAAAACTCACTTTGTATTTTGTCTCCTTTTAGATTTCTCACCATGTGCAATAGACACTTTGGCAGTGTTGTGGCACAAACCATTCGGACTCAAAAAACAGATCAGTTTCCACTTTTCCTGATTATTATGGGAAAGCGATCATCTAATGAAGTGTTGAATGTGATACAAGGTAAAGTACATGTCACAAGGAGAGTAAAGTCTTCCTGGTATGTGATAGCTTTATCGTTTTTCTGTCAAAACTGACAATATTTCTATTTGTGAATATCTTTGCATTTGAAAATGTACAACATCCTGAAGAATGTCTTCAAAAAGTATAGGTGCTATAAAAAATAATATGCTGCATGAAAATCTAACAGAAACATCTTAATAAAATTGCACAACCCTTGGGACACAGGATGTTCAAGTTAAATGTTCAGAATTGCTAAATTCTGTAATCTAGCAATTAGGACATAATCAGTTGTCAAATATGACATTCCTTATTTATATTGATTTATTGCTATAATGTTGATTTATTGAAAGAAATGCTTATCTTTAGTTATCTAGAAAATCCAGTTACTGTATATTGAAGATAGAATTTTTCACAGTGACAATTGTGTCTTCTTATTTGTATGATTCTGTGTTTAGGGTACAACCCTAAAGCATGAAGCTAAAACTGTATATGGGATACTAATTTCTGCCTCCATTTAAGTCTGATTGGGAGGAGAGGATATGTGTGAAATTCAGTGCCTTGAAAACCCAAACAAAACCAGATCGCTAGCATTTTATGTTTTCTCTATAACTACAGCATTCAGTTCAAAACAGTGTTTAAAAAGACCTGCAGGGGAGCTTATTTGCATAGGATAAATGGATAATGAAGATAACACTTCTTTCCTGCTTTCCCTGTCAGAGGCAATATTGCAAGAACTAGTGGTTCTCAAGGTGTGGTGTGTAGACTTCAGACTAGACCCTTGCAAGGGATCTGTAAGGACAAAATTATTTTCATACTGTGACAACACTTTTTTTTTTTTTTTGCCTTTTTTACTATGTTGATATTTGTACTAGTGGCTCAAAAAGAATAGTTTATAAAAACTCTCGGCACCTTAGCTCAAATCAATGCCATAATACAAAACTGTGCTAGTAGTCATATTCTTCATTGCCATGTATTTAGTTAAAAAGAAATGAAAAAGTCTTAAGAATGTTCTCGATGAAGCAGTAAAAATTATTGCTTTCATTAAATTTTAGCCCTCTTAATAGTTTGTGTGGCACAATAAGAGGTATGGGTAAGCACTTCTGCTGCATACTGAAGTACACTGGTGGTCTCAAAGAAAACACTGGTGTGGTTGCTTACACTGAACTACTTGTTTTTTATTTCTTATAGAAAGTATTTTTACCTGAAAATACTACTGACAGGGAAACTGTGCTTATGTAGCCTGGGTAGTTGCCAGACATTTTCTGCAAAATGAACAAAGTGAATCTGTGGTCTCTGTTGTTATTCATAAAATTCAAGTTTTCAAGCAAAAATTTGTATCATCCACCTTAAGGCTGGTATCTTAAATACTTTTTAATAAAATCAGTGGTGATATTAGCAAGTGTGATATTTTTAAATATCATATAATGAAGTGTGTCAGCATTCAGCAGAGAAATGCATAACACAGTGAACCAGTGTTTTACAAATGACTGATGCATGACATTATAAAATCATGTACAGATAAAAGATCCATTCAAAGGGCAATGGATTTTAATATAACAGAGTACACACATTTCATTGATATTGTTTCAAATTCCATGTGCATCTAATTTGAAGAAACTTAGACTTGTCAGTTTAAGTGTAGTATCAAAAGAATATCCACATTTATCTATGAAAATACTTCTCCCTTTTCCAGCTACCTAGCTTACCAGATTTTCTTCATAAATTTCAACCAGTACAACATGTTGTAATTGGTTAGTACAGAAGTAGGTATGAGAATACGGTTGTTTCTAATAAGCACACACATTACAGAGATTTGCAAAAATGTTATAATAATGCTGCTCTTCTCACTAAACTTTTTCTTTTGGAAAATAGTCATGTTTGATAAAACATAATATTTATATTAACATGTGATAGGTTTATTATCATTACTTTTAAATGGATTTCTATTTTAATTTCTAATACAGTAAATGTTAATAGCCATAATCCACATAAACAAAAGTTCTTTGGGGATCTCAGTAATTTTTAACAGTGTTAAGGGGTCTGAGACCAAAAAGTTTGAGAACTGCTGCAATCAACTATAAAGAGTAAGTTTGCCCTGAACTGCATTAACTGGTACACTTTTTCTCTGTCTTTGATCAGTAGGGCTTAAGTATGAAGTACCTACAAGTCCAGTTTGGCAGTGTATCCTTCCAGTTAGGGCTAAAACATAGCTGATAAGCAGTGACTTAAGCCTAAAAATTAATGGCCAGTATGTAGTCACCTATACAACTGTGACTACAGTATTTTCCCACTGATGATTCCAGTATACTTCATATAGTATCCATTTCCCATGCTCTGAGTCTTAGCCACTACCATTTTAAATAAAATATAGAAACCCAGAGACTTGCCCAATAATAAAATCTACATTGGCTAGGTGTGGTGGCATATACCTATAATCCCAGCTACTTGGGAGGCTGAGGTGGTAGGATCATTTGAGATCTGGGCAAAAAACCAAAACCCTGTCTCAAAAAAATAAACAATAAATCTACATTGAAGGTGCTCCTAAACTTATTTTGTCATCTGTCATATCTATTAATATTAACTACCAATGATTGTATGTATACTTTACATTGTCTCCACTCCTTCTAAGAACATTACAGTCTCCATTTTGAGAAAAGGAAATTGATCCTTAGAGAGCTACAGTCCATTTATTCACTTATTTATTTGATTATTGAATAAATACTCATTAAAGTCTTTGTCATGTGCTAGACAGTTTCCAGGTACTAGATCATATAACTTATAAGTAATGGAATTAGAGTTAGAACTCTGACTATAAAACCAGTTCTGTTTTCTTAGTGCCAAGGTGAGTAACATTTATTCTGTAGCTCATTTACGGAGTAGTATTGATGTGAACAAATTAGATCATTTCTTTTGCCAAGGACCATAGATGTTCCCTAAACCCATGCTGCCAATGATCATAAGAATAATTAGGGAAAGGACCATTGAAAAATCATGTTAGTCAAGCCCTCTGGAAAAATGCCAGCAAGGATGCTTGGTCTTTATTGTCCTGTTGGTGGCCATTTCATGAATGGGGAAGAAGACCCCTTCTGAAGCCTTGGAGAAAACTTAACTCTTTCTGCCTGAAGGTTTGAGAGAAGATACTTGTCATATCTTTATATATCCTCATGAATTTTTTTCTTATAGGTACATCCCAAGCAAATAACAATGACTTAACTGTGTTTAGGAAATGGCATATATGTGCTATATGTTTGTTACGGACTTGGTCAGGGAATAAAATGACATTAAGAAAAATCAAACGTTTTAAATACCTTCTTATAAAGATTATAAAAATCATTTAAAAGCAGCTGAAAGGGAGAAATATCAATTGGGCCAAAAGAGAAAATTTTTTTCAGAAATTGAATTACTGTTTGTTTCACTAGAGGATTTTTAGTGATAGAAGGTAATTCTAAGTAAAGGTAATAGACTGAGGTGGGTGGCAAAGAGGACAGGCTTCCAGACAGCCTCTTCTGGTTTCAGATTCTTGCCTGACTGCTTAACCAGCTTGACCTTGGTCAGGCAGGTTTTTTTGAGCTCTCTAAGACTCATTTTTCTTCTTTTTAAAAACAAATCATAGTGACTCCTTCATAAAATTGTTGTGCAGATTAAATGAGATAGTATATATAAAGTGCTTAGCCTAATCAGTGATATGTAAACAATTGGTAATTGTTGCTAGTGTTATTAACTAGATTTATGTTTTCGTAATTTGACAGAACTTGTATATAGACATGATTTGTCTATATATGATTTGGACATTCTTGTATATAGTGCTAAAAGTCCTTCTTATTAAGAAACTGCTCCCTTGGGCGGGCGCGGTGGCTCAAACCTGTAATCCCAGCACTTTGGGAGGCCGAGGCGGGTGGATCACGAAGTCAGGAGATCGAGACCATCTTGGTCAACATGGTGAAACCCCATCTCTACTAAAAATACAAAAAATTAGCTGGGCATGGTGGTGCGTGCCTGTAATCCCAGCTACTCAGGAGGCTGAGGCAGGAGAATTGCCTGGACCCAGGAGTTGGAGCTTGCAGTGAGCGGAGATCGCGCCATTGCACTCCAGCCTGGGTAACAAAAGCGAAACTCCGTCTCAAAAAAAAAAAAAAAGAAACTGCTCCCTCAAATATAACTGTTCTGAAATTTGAACTGCCAGTATACTAGTTTACTCTTTCTTGTTGAACATATGAAACATTTCATAAAACCACAAAAGTATTTTAACTATAATTTTTTTAGACTGGTTATTCCTTTCTGGTTAATTCTAGAATGACTTTCTAGTTTCTAATACTTTAATAATTTGAAGTTATATATAAAAAGCTTATATAAAGTTTGGCAATCTCTTTATTTTAGGTAACACAACAGTAGATGAGTTAATGATGAGACTCATGGCCGCAATGGAGATCTTCACAGCCCAACAACAGGAAGATATAAAGGATGAGGTAAGGTAAAGGTTAAGCAGATCTTTAACAGGATTTTGATGAGGTAATCTGTCAAATGATGGTACATGCTTATGATATGATTGATAAATAAGGATGATGAAGATCTATTTCCCAATTCGAGGGTTTTTATACAATGGAGTTTATCATTGGCATTACTATTACCAGTCCATTCTTTTTATAACCACAAAACCCAATAATTTCTTTTAATTTATGGACTATTTATACTTTGCTAGATTTGGGGTGGTTACAGGAAGTCGATTTGCAAGAAATGAGTTCAGAAGCATGTTTATAGAAGAAACTATAATCTGGGAAATTATGTCTACTATATGAATTATATCACTCACTTTTAAGGTCCTCTTATTCTTTTTAAATATTTAGATCAATTAGCAATAAACACATTTTACATTTGAATATATTTTTGAAGTACTGTGAGAATTAGCAAAAGATCTCCAGCATTCTGAATTTCTCAACCTCCTATACATATTCAGGTGTTAGAGATAACATGAACATAGAACCTCAAAATAATAACAAAACCATTATTGATGGCAAGATGGCAATAATGTTCAATCCTTACCTGGTATTTGTCATGTGCCAGGCACTGTACTAAGTACTAATCATCATCTCATATGATCCTCAAAATAACCCATGAAGTTGTATATCAGTCAGCATTCTGGCAGTAAATAGATGACACTTTTAAACTAGGTTATTTAAGAAGAATTTAATAAGGTGACCATTTGTAAATATGTGGGCAGGGTTTTCAAAAATCAACAGAAAAGGCTGGACACAGTGGCTCACGCCTGTTATTCTAGGACTCTGGGAGGCTGAGGTGGGTCAATCACTGAGTTTAAGAGTTTAAGACCAGCCTGACCAATGTGGTGAAACTCTATCTCTACTAAAAATACAAAAATTAGCCAGGCATGGTGTGCCTGTGATCCCAGCTACTCAGGAGGCTGAGGCAGGATAATCGCTTGAACCTGGGAGGCGGAGGTTGCAGTGAGTGAGCCAAGATCACGCCACTGTTCTCCAGCCTGGGTCTGTCTCAAAAAAAAAAGAAGAAGAAGAAGAAGTTAATACAGACTCCAAGGCTAAAAGGCTAAAGGGAACCATTATTATCTCTGGGCCTGAAAGCCTAGGAGAGGGTGCTATATATGGAGAAAACTGCTTTTGATAGAGGGATATAGCTAACCTTGGTGGCCTAGTAGGGAGGAAACCAGGAAACAGCTTCATCTTCCTTCTCTAATCTCCTGCTAGTATCTCCAATTCATTTAGCCCAATTAGAAGCTGGAAGGTAGGAGAACCTTCTTGGGAACAAAGCTGTGTAGAACATGGATCCTGAGGGGGTTAATGACAGGTAATCTAGCACAGATTGGTATGATTATCTCCACTTTACAGAAAAGAAAACTGAGAGGCAAAGTTAAGTAAATTTGCCCTTGGTCATATAGCTGACAAGAGCTGCAAATAATAATCTCAAGTAGTCATTAGTACTTGGATCAATCAAGACATTTCTGGATTTAGAAAACAGCCTTAAAATAAAATATGAAACAGATATTAGAATTTGTTAATTTGAGATGCTATGTTCACAGATGTTTGTAAGATTATCATTTTTAATGTATCTGTTTTAAATTTCTTTTTAAAAGATTTCCCTAAAACAAGTAAGAGTTTTATTTCTGAACAGTGATGAAAAGATGCTAAGGATAGTTTGAATAGACTATCGTTTAGTTATTGCAAATGTGAAACATACACAATTTTAGTATAACCCTGAACTATTATATTTTATTTTATTTACTTATCCCTGTATTACATTAAACTGTGAGTTTGTTAAGAGCAAGAATCATATCAAATTCATGTTTGTAACCCTGTCCCCTAACAGTGTACCTAGGACAAAGTCAGTACTCAGTAAATATTTGTTAAGTGATTGAATAAATGAGTATTTGAATTTACATAAAATAAAGTAACTTGGAAAAAACAATATTTGATTACAACACAATATAAAACCTGGCCAGGGCCAGGGGTGGATCACTTGAGCTCAGGAGTTAAGAGACCAGCCTAGGCAACATGGTGAAACCCCATTTCTACAGAAAATACAAAAATTAGCCAGGTGTGGTGTTGCCTTCCTGTAGTACCAGCTACTTGGAGAGTTGAGGCTACAGTGAGCCATGTTCATGCCATTGCATTCCAACCTGGACAACAAAGTGGGACCCTGTAATAAGTGTGGCCCAGCACAGTGGCTCAAACCTGTAATCTCAGCAGTTTGGGAGGCCAAGACAGAAGGATGGCTTGAGGCCAGGAGTTTGAGATCAGCCTGGGCAACATAGCAAGGCCCATCTCTACCAAAAAAATTTTTAAAAACAATAGCTGGGCATGATGGTGCATGCCTTTAGTCCTAGCTACTCAGGAGGCTCCAGTGGGAGGATCACTTGAGCCCAGGGGTTTAAGGTGGCAGTGAGCTATATGCTTGCACCACTACACTTCATTCTGAGTGACAGAGTAAGACCTTGTCACTTAAAAGCAAACAAAAAAGGTAACTTTTAAAATATTTTTAAAAAATGAAACCCAATATATCCACATTAACAAATGTGAAAATTTGGAGTGCTGTGACTAGTTTAGAGTTTTAATGCACATTCGATTTCTTCTATTGCTGTAAAAATATTGTTTATACTTTTTAATAGTCAGTGTTTCATTTACTCTAGTAGAGGCAATCAGATATATGGTAGAAAGATGTTTATCTGTTACTCTACAAATTGACAGTGACATTTTGAAATAATGAAGTACTGTACTTAGTTAGGAATTTGTAATAATAGGTGTTCTGCCTTTCAAGATTACATTTATCCTGGAACAGAGGCATTGATTGACAATAATTCACTAAAAACATTCTTCAGCCATTTAAATCTTGAGTCTCATTAGTACTAGATTTACTACAGATTATGCTGTATAAGAATATGAATGCACAATATTTGCATTCATATTCCCAGTTCATTTTTTCATCTTAATTTGTGTTCCCCATAATGCACTAGTAAAGAAATTGACTTTAATTCCTTTAATACTGAGCACAAAATTTAATATGAGGGCTACAGGAAAAATCCAGCACTTCATATAATTGAAATTTTTATTGAAATTTAATTGCAAAAGGTAAAGATTTCTCTTTGTTTTTAGAATGTCTTCATAAAAGTTGTAGCTCAAGTTATAATAGAGTTCCTAAGAAAAATAAAAGGCACTTCTAACTTTAAAAACTTCTTTTGGACTATACATAGACCATAATGATTTGGTATCTGCTGAATATGTGACAAGAAACATTATTCCTTGTAATTGTGAATTTGCCTTTTTTTTTTAATTGCAAATAAGACTTTACTTAAATTTGAAATTAAAATTAAATCAGTGAAGAGGTTTGGAGGCTGGCTTCCTAGGCCCGAATTTATTTAAACTTAACTTTAAATTATATTCATCACTTTGATGATTTTGTAGCACAACCAGAGATACCTATGTTTAAAACTTTTGTGAAATAAACCCAAGTCTAAACCATATTTACACACTGAATCACCCTTCAGTGGCCCAGAAATGACTAACCTTTATATCACTGATTGCTCTGTTTTTAATTAGGGTATATACATTATGTGGACCTCTGTTTTAGACAGAACTGCTTATTGCTTTCTCTCTTAGACATTTTCATTAGTAGTATTAGTTTGGTTTTATAAAGGTTTGTTGAGCTTCTACCAAGTACTTATCACTGGACAAATAAATCTTTTCCTTTAATGAGGGGCTATTGGCAAAGAGTGGGTGAGGAGGAAAACAAGCATTATTACATTACAGTAGCCACATTTTAGAATCTATTTTTGCCTAAAGGCTGGTTCCAAATGATAGATGCTTTCTAACATGTAAATGGGTTGATTTTTTATATGCACTGTTTTTTAAACTACCTAGAAACCTCTGATAATCAAGAGTTTGTGATACTTAGTTGGTGATCTATTTATTGTTTCATTTGTTTATTCATTCAACACAAATTTGTTTATAATCCTCTATCCTGTTTGCAAGGATTACTTGATTCCAGGCTTACCTCTATGATTAACTTGTATCTGAACAATAGCTCAGTAATTGTCACAATCCAGATGTTGGAGATCAGGGCAGATTTCAAGGGCAGTTACAGCATTCTCATCTCTGGAATTCTAAGAATACACTGGTGGAACATGGGCAAAATATACCAGAGGGGCATTCTAGGCTTATTTTAAAGGGTTCTAATTTAGAATTTAAAAATTGCATTGCCACAGTACAGGGAGAATATGTTTATTACGTCACAGCAGCTATTTTGTTGCCAAAGGAAATTGTTGGCTTTGTCGTTTGCTACATGGAATATGTAACTTTTTCCCCCTAAGCTTTGTCTTAGTCTCTTTTCAGCAGTACATTCCTTTTCCTTTCCTCCGTTTAAAATCTCATGACTGTCATACCCATTCTCTTTGCAGAGCTAACAATGACAAACAGAACTGATTCTGCTTCTGTTGCAGTTTTTTAAAATTGTTTTTCATGTTTTTGGGTACACAGTAGTTTTATATATTTTTGGGGCAGATGAGATGTTTTGATACAGGCATGCAATGAAACAATCTCTTTGTACAAAAAGCAAAGCAAAACTTACTAAACAGACTTTTAAAGGGAGATTTCACTCTTATTCTTTAAAAAATACACACACACACACACACACACACACACACACACACACCACTTCTTAAAGCTTGCAGAGCTACTCATTGGTCAGTTGTTAAGAGAGTTTTCCCTGATATAGCTATATATAAATTTATATGTGAGATTAAAAATCCAAAAATATGATATTTTTGAACATTAGAATTCCACTGAAAATGCTAAAGTCATGGAAGTTCTAATATTTATAAGTAACTTCAAGGAGAAAGGTCTGTGTTAACTGTTAATGATTAGATTGCTAAATGGTTAGCCAAGCACACCGTAGGTACCTTTCCAAAGGTAGCTACATTCTGCTTAGAAAAATAGTTATTTATCTAGTGATTTCTCTCCTTTTTTAGGCCCAAATCACAGAAAATTAATTGCTCTCATTTTGATTTATGTATTCATTTTATATGTATTTATTGAGCTTTTACTGTATAGCAGACACTGTAGGACCTAAGGACACAGCTGTGAGCAAGATAAACAAGGTCCTTAGGCTTACAACCCAGAAATTCCAATAAAGTCTACCAACTAATCAGGTGGCTGAAGCTCAGGGAGCACCTAGCCAGGGTGAGACAGACATGTTCTCAAGCTACAAGGCAGGTAGAGCAGGTGAGAATGTAGATAGTCATAGCCACTGTTCAAGTTCCTTCTACATGCTAGGTTCTGGGTTTTGGGGCAATGTTTCTCAATGGGTTTCCTGAACTACTGAAATACCTGTCTACATACTAAGATTCCCAAGTACTTAGGTATGAGTAAGCAACAGGTTTATTTTTTTCACATTTAGAAACGTAAGGTAAATTATATTCTTCCAAATCCCATTTAATTTATAGTATCTGTTAAAATTTATTAGACTGTTAATGGATAACAAGTATTGACTGCATTGGTTGTTTTGTCTTGGAAAACATTCATTTAACAGAAGCATTTGACTCTGACATCTGAATTTTCATGTCATTCATATGTTATGATTAAATTTATATTCATTCTTCCTTGCTTAAGTTAATTACATTCTTAGCTTCCCAAAATGGATCATGGCTCAACAGTGGTTCACTGAAGCGTAAAAATAATGATGAATATAGTATAATAAATACTGCAAACCAGGACAACATAGTTCAAACTACAGCTGACCCTTAAACAACGTGGAGGTTAGGTTGTCGACTCTTGGTACAGTCAAATGCAAGTATAACTTTTGACTCCCCCAAAACTTTACTAATAGCCTACTGGTGACCAGAAGTCTTACCAATAACATTAATCTATTAACACATATTTTGTATGTTATATGTATTATATAGAGATTAATAAGGTGAACTAGAGAAATAAAGTGTTGTTAAGAAAATCCTAAGCAAGAAGAAATGTATTTACTGTTCATTAAGTAGAAGTGGATTATCATAAAGGTCTTTGTTCTTGTCACTTTCACATAGAGCAGGTGAGGGAAAGAGGCAGAAGTAAGGTTGGTCTTGCCATCTTAGAGGCAGCAGAGGCAAAAGAGGTGGAGGAAGTGGCAGAGGTGGCAGAAGAGGCAGGCACACTCAGCATAACTTTTATTGAATAAACTCTCCATATAAGTAGACTCACACAGTTCAGACCTGTGTCATTTAAGGGTCAACTGTGGTTCAACATTAGTATAGACATAATGCAAAGAACTCCAGTAGTAGTATTAGATTATTTTTACACTAGTTTCCATAAAAGAAAATTTGATTAAGAAGTGAATAGGCCAGGCACAGTGGCTCATGCCTGTAAACCCAGCACTTTGGGAGGCTGAGGTGGGCAGATCGTGAGGTCAGAAGTTTGAGACCACCCTGGCCAACATTATGAAACCCCATCTCCACTAAAAATACAAAAATTAGCTGGGCGTGGTGGCGTGCACCTGTAGTCCCAGCTACTCAGGAGTCTGAGGCAGGAGAATTGCTTGAACCCGAGAGGCAGAGGTTGCAGTGAGCTGAGATCATGCCACTGCACCACACCAGCCTGGTGACAGAGTGAGACTCTGTCTCAAAAAAAAAAAAAAAAAGTGAGTATGTAAAAATTGATCATATAAGAGAAGGGATCCATTTACCTCTAGTATCAGTGTTTCTCTCTTAGAACATTTTTTCATGAAAGTGTATGGCCTTCAAAGTTTTTGCTTCATTATTAAGTAAAGCCTAACGATCTACCTCTCTGTTAAGTCAATACAATTTTTTTCAGAGCAGAAGAAAAGTAATACCACTAAAGTAAAAAAATCTATTGCTAAAAGCAGAGAAGATACAAAATTCCAGAGAAGTTGTTTACAAGTGCACTCGAAGTAAAAATATATGCAAATCCTACTATTACCAAGAAACTTATAAAGCCCCTGCAAAATTAGCAATAAGAAGTTAATGCTTAGGCCGGGCGCGGTGGCTGATGCCTATAATCCCAGCACTTTGGGAGGTTGAGGTGGGTGTATCACGAGGTCAAGAGATCGAGACCATCCTGGTCAACATGTTGAAAACCCGTCTCTACTAAAAATACAAAAATTAGCTGGGCATGGTGGCATGTTCCTGTAGTCCCAGCTGCTCAGGAGGCTGGGGCAGGAGAATTGCTTGAACCCAGGAGGTGGAGGTTGCAGTGAGCCGAGATCGTGCCACTGCACTCCAGCCTGGGTAACAACAGCAAAACTCGGTCTCAAAAAAAAAAAAAAAAGTAGTTAATGCTTAAAAGAGACAGCAGGCCAGGTGCAGTGGCTCATGCCTATAATCCCAGCACTTTGGGATGCTGAAATAGGAGGATAATTTGAACTCAGGAGTTTGAGACCACCAGCCTGGGCAACATATGGAGACCCCATCTCTACAAAAAATAAGGGGAAAAAATTAGCCAAACGGCCGGGTGCAGTGGCTCATGCAGCACTTTGGGAGGCCAAGGCGGGTGGATCACAAGGTCAGGAGTTTGAGACCAGCTTGGCCAATATAGTGAAACTCCACCCATCTCTACTAAAAATACAAAAATTAGCCAGGCATCATCGTGGGCACCTGTAGTCCCAGCTACTCGGGAGGCTGAAGTAGGAGGATCACTGGAACCCAGGAAGCAGAGGTTGCAGTGAGCCAAGATCACGCCACTACACTCCAGCCTGGGTGACAGAATGAGACTCCATCTTTAAAAAAAAATTATCCAAGCATGGTGGTGCATGCCTGTAGTCCCAGCTACTTGGGAGACTGAGGTGGGAGAATTGCTTAAGCCCAGGAGATCAAGACTACAGTAAGCTGTGATCTTGCCACTGCACTCCAGCCTAGGCAAGAGTAAGACAGCAGAATGAGTTCTTTGGTTAAATACTTCATCAAATGACACTGTTAGATGGCATATGCAGTGGTAATGGGATGGTTGATGGAAGAGTGATAACTACATTGTGGACACTACTAGAGAGGGAGAGGTTGCTTTACAGTTGGATGAAACTACGAATGTGTACAAAGTAAGAATCAGTTCTTGTCACATGTACTGTATGTATGCTGAAGAAGTGGGAGTAGTGATCACTATTTATCAATGACAAATATATATTACAAGAGAAGTTTTTCACTTAGTGATTATTTTTACAAGTGCTGAGTTAGATTTTAAAAGATGAGGCAGTATCAGTCCTGTTGACTAACTATACTTCAAAAGGACACCACCAGGAAAGTGAAAGTACAACCCACAGACAATTACTGTAAATCGTTTATTTAATAAGGGACTTATATCTGGATATATAAAGAAAGAACTCTTACAACTCAGTAACAAAAAAGATAAATTATCCCAGCAACAACTGGCAAAGAATTTGAAAAGGTGTTTCTCCAAGGATGATATGCAAGTGGCCAATAGCACATGGAAAGAAGCTCAACATTATTATTCACCAGACAAATGCAAATCAAAACCGTAATGACGTACCACTTTATACTTGCTACAATGTGTAGAATCAAAAAAAGTCATCAGGGGTCTGGCACAGTGGCTCACTCCTGTAATCCCAGCACTTTGGTAGGCCAAGGTGGGCAGATCACTTGAGGCTGGGATTTCTAGACCAGCTTGGCCAAAATGGCGAAACCCTGTCTCTACTTAATATACAAAAAACTTTGCTGGGTTGGTGGCATGCACATGTAGTCCCAGCTACTTGGGAGGCTGAGGCAGGAGAACCTGAGGCAGGCTTGAACCTGAGAAGCGGAGGTTGCAGGAAGTCAAGATCATACCACTATACTCCAACTGGGGAATGGAGCAAGATTCTGTCTCAAAAAAAAAAAAAAAAAAAAAGGCATCAGGTAGCAACAAATGTTGGCAAAGATGTGGAGAAATCTGAACCCTCACTGGCTGCCATTGGAAATGTAAAATGATGCAACAGCTTTGGAAAACAGTCTGGCAGTTCTTCAATTGATTAAATGTAGTTACCATGTAATCCAGCAATTCCACTCCTAGTTAAATGCTCAAGAGAAATGAAAACCTGTGTTCATGTACAAATTTGTACGTGACTGTTTATAGTATCATTACTCATAATAGCCAAAAGGTGGAGGCTGGGCGCAGTGGCTCATGCCTGTAATCCCAGCCCTTTGGGAGGTGGAAGCAGGAGGA